CCCCCCCCCCCAAACCCATCCTGACATCTTTCTCTCTCCCTCACACACACAGCTGATATAACAGGTCAATCATGTTTGATTGTCTCCAGGGAACGCCCCCTGGCAGCTCTGATTGCTGCTGTTACCTTCACCTCCCCCAGGCAGCCTCGTCTGAGCGTGCACACAAACACATCCAGCAGGCACACACTTAATTACACACACATACAATCTTGTCACAACACTGATAGCTAAATTACCTGCTTAGGTAGCTCCGTGCTGCCTCTGTAGGATGTTCTGTCATGTGTGTGTGGTACTGTATATAACCATACGGGACCTTGGTACAGGGTAAAACATCAAGGCCACCCGGATGGTCACTTTGTTGACAAATAACTGTCAGGCAGACATTACAATGCTTCCTGCTGCCACACATGATGCCTCACACACACATATACAGCACATGTACGCACATTTGAAGATCCCATGCTATAATTTAGACTTAGATATTTTGGGATTACGAGAAATATGTAACATCATCTTTTTCCAGTATATAATAAAGCCTCACAAACTTTAAACAATTGAGAAAAGCTTGTGAAATAACCAAAGTATGGCAGAAAGTGATCAACTCATGTAGGCTACAGTGGGACCCCATTGTTCGTACGTAGCAAGAAGCTGGTTCTGAAAGCAGGTTATCATGATTATCACTGAATAATGTGAAATTTTCAACATCCAGCTCAGTTCTACAAAATATTTTAGCCTCTTTTAGATCCTAGTTTTGGTTTTCTGGAACATTAACTGTCTGGTTCAGGTTCAGTGTTTTTCCATCAAACAAGCTTTGATGAAACCACCGTTGCTGGTGAGTCAATTGGTTAGTGGAGCATTTAGCAGCGGATCGTGTCTCAGGTCGGAGGGTCTGATTTTCCTCTTGAGCGCTCTCTAGTGGTCAAACAGTGCTCAAAGCGGACTTAAATCTTTTATTTTACTACGAGTATGATTAAGGATAGTTTGTCTAACAATAGCCGTCGTCATGAAGCAAAAAAAAGGCTTGTTTTAATAGACGAGTGGTGATTATGCCCGTCATTAATAACACATATCAACAGAATATTGTTCTAATTTAAAATAGACACACATAGTTTAAAGTAAAAATACTTATTAATGTTAATTTTGAACAGTGCAGGTATTGTGTATGTGTACCTTACACATACGTCATGATGTATCTCATTATCGTTTGGAAAATACGGTCATGTTAAACCAGTTCAGTCATTTTAGTAATTTAGTTTTACTCTTTACACAACACTATATGTCCTTTTGTGGTTGTGAAATCAACTTTTTGAAACCTTTGAAATCACCCGCTGGATAATAAAGTTTTCTTGGTTTGTGAAAATATCTATTACATTGAACTCACCAACGATGGAGAGAATGACGACCACGAAGTCGAAGATGTTCCAGCCGACTGTGAAGAAGTAGCATCGCAGCGCCATGATCTTGATGAGGCACTCGAAGGTGAAGACGATGATGAAGGCCAGGTTGATTTTGTTAAGGATGTACTCCATCTGGGGCGACTGCTCGTCCGTCTCCACCATCATGGTGATCATGTTGAAGAGGATCATCACCATGATGATGATGTCGAACGCCTGCTTTGCCACCAGGTCGAAGAAGAAGCCCTGCAGCGGGTTCTGGGGAGGGAAAGAGAGGATGCTGTCTGTTACTGATTGATGATTGAACATTTATTTCACACTTCTTTTGCAACAATGGCAATATTACCCATTAATGCAAATAAAAACGTACCATAAACTCTCAAAAGTGGCCTTTATTAACTGATATCCTGGTATTTGTACAATATTATACTAAGACCTTTATTCCTAATTCCTAATATTTTTTCCCCCAATCTTCCCTGTTTTATATGTGACCATATTTTTAAAAGAAACCTCCCTGTTTTAAATGAATTAATTCATTATTTTTCCATTGCAAATACAACAACTTGCGTATATTTACTCGTTGTTACACTATACACTTCTACAGAAGTAATTCCATTAGGTACAACAACATGCCAAAGTCATCTTCATTTCTCTAACAGAAAAGGTTTTTATTCACTATTTCTTCAACTTTGCCTTTTATTTAAATCTTTTGTAAGTTGGCAGTGATGGTTCCTGCACAGATGTTTCACATTAAAAGCCTTCCAGCCCGAACCTTTTAGACTTGTAGAAATGTGAAATAACTGCAGGAAGTGTTGTGTTTTATTGACAGAGCTTAACTATAATGGAAAAATTACGCTGATTTTACCAGGTCATCCACGTAATCTTTACTTGTCTGTGTCAACAACAAGCCATAATTTGGCTCTTGGCTATTATTGGAATGCTGTCTTTTATTTGAGAATTTACTGTATTTGAATTTGACATCGAGAGACAGAGAGAGGAAGACGTAGGACTACAACTGCATTTTCACCATGTCAGCAGTTACTATTTAATAATTTTTATTTTTCCTACCAATTATTTAATTGTACGTTTAAACTACTGAACATGTTTTTTAAATGCGCTCTACAGATCGATTTACTTGATTTGAACACATACAAACATGGATGTTTCCATCACTGTGGATTAAAACAGAATAAATGTTTATATTTTTGAAGTGTGTGGTGTGTTGGTACCAGAGGTCTGGGGATGGGCTTCTGAGGTTTCTTGGAGCCCAGTTTCTTCATGGCATTGTAGTATTTCTTCTGCTCCTCTGTCATGAAGATATCCTGTCCTCCTAAGTAAACAAACACAACAACAACAACTCTGTTATTTTCACCGAGCAGGACACAACAACATGTTGCTCCCGACCTCTCAAACTGTCCTGCTCTTAATACACTCGGCATTTTGTAAATCTATAAACAGTCTTTTACTTGCTGTGGAAATAAGATGGCAACACATTGTTATGTCTATTTATTTACGTGTTTTAGATACGTGAACGTCGTTTCTGCTGTGGTACTTATCTTCCTTTTCTGCTGGTTGAAGTTATCGATGATAACACCGATGAAGAGATTGAGGGTGAAGAAGGAGCCGAAGATGATGAAGATGACAAAGTACAGATACATGTACAGATTGATCTCCTTGATAGGCTGCTCCTCGACCTGACAGGAACACACACACACACACACACACAGATCACATTAAAAAAGAAATACGCCTCTTTTTCCACTTCATACCCATTGATCATTCATTGTGCTCATGTCTCCTTCAGCCTCTCACATAATCACTTTTAGTGTTTCTCATTTCTTCCTCATTTTTTAATGTATTACTCTAGATCTAATACAATGTCTAACTGCTTTTCATCTTTTGCATATTATCTCTGATCACGAGCTATTCTCATCTCATTATTTTAATTTTCCATATCTCTTAAACATTAATCTGACTCATTTTACCTTTTTATTTTTTACTGAATCTACAATTTTCCTTTAAATTTCGTAATAACTGAATTTCCTGTTATTGAACCTTTGTAATCTGACAGCATCTTTTTATTTGAGGTCTAATTTTATCTTTCTGTTGAAACTGGAAACTCGTGTTGGTTCATCCTGTTTAATCTGTGTTTTTATCTGAGCTCATCTCTTTTCACCTTTTTTACTTTTAATCTCATCCGGTGGTGTAATCTGACCCAGAGAAACATCCAAATTCAAACTTACAGCTCGTGAATCCACAGCTGCATACATGATGTCCATCCAGCCTTTGAAAGTTGCCTTGGAGACAAAAAAACATCAGATAATTACAATATTACCATTAACTGTTGGAGTAGTTGCAAAATCAATCTGAAAAGCACAAGATGATTCATGGGAACAGGATGAAATAAGAAAATGTAATTATAATAACTTTTCTTCAATCCTGGCTGTTCTTCTAATGAAAAGCGAGAGAGACTGTGAGCTCCTGTTTTTTTTGTTTCTTTGTGTGTCAAGTGTGTTCTGAGTTTCTCTGCACCCCGTCACAAAGACGACATCCTGCATATTTCCTGCACTTAAGTGAATATCTGAACAAAAGGTATCTTAAAGCAGCTTTCCCATTTTGGCAGAAAATTAGCAGAGAGAGAGAAAGAGTCCGAGCGCCATGAAAACACCACCGCTGTTTTTTTCTCAATGAAAGATCAACACGTCCTTTCATGGACTTCCTTCCTCAGCAGGGAGGGAGCAGATGATTGAGATTAAAAAAAGGTGAAGAGAGGAGAAAGAACAGGTGGCAGAAAGGTAGGAGAGGAAAAAAAGATGCAGATGTGAGGTAACAGCATAATTTGGATGAGTGGGCGCCTGCCGTCCGTCACTCAGACCTAAAATCATCTCGTCGCCAGGAGTTACCACCTGTTATTATTATAAGGGCCTGTCGGATGTGAGCGAGACGGGGCATGTTGTAAAAGACAGCGCGCTTAGTAGCCAGAGATTTTTAACGGATGTGAAGACGTTTACGGGTGGCGGTGTCTCAGTCATCAGTCTGCTGCCACACTGAACCATCTGTTGATGAAGAGGGTTGCTGCCTTTCGCTAACAGTTTGCATATATGTTCAACAGGAGCTGAAGAAACTGGCCGATTAATCAACAAGGTCAACAGAAAAATGATTAACAAGTTTATGGTAATTAATGAATTGTCTAGGTCAATTTTAAAGGATAAGCACCAAATTTTATCTGGTTCCAGCTTCTTTGTTGTATATTAAAATAATAAACTGAATAGTTTTCGGCTTTAGAGTCAAGAAAAACAAGCAATTCCATGATTTTAGTAAATTGAGATGATTCTTCACAACATTTTTGACCAAAATATTGACTTTAAAGGTTCATTGGGTACGTTTTAGTGGCATCCAGTGGAGACGGTTGCAAATTGCAACCAACGGCTCACTGTGAATTCACGTGCTCCTCGGATGGTCCCATTTCCCCAGTTGTGAAGTCGTTCTTCTGATTTCAGTGTGAGGTCATGTGCTTCTAAGTCTGAATGTAGAATCAACATGGACGCTACTACAAAGATGTGTTAGATTAGCATTATCAGAGAATTTTAATTTCTAAATCCAACAACAAAAAGGCTGTAAAAACTGTCAACATATAGTCTTCTTGTAATATTTTTGATATAATATAGACTTCCCCAGGCAATGTTTTTATTATTCGTGTCTTCTTATATATTTGTGTACTGTTCTGTATACTTCTTTATGTCCCATGTATGCATATAAGGAGAGAAAAAACATTCTGAATATTCTGACACCACATGAACGGACCATCACGCACCGCTCACCACCCCTGCTTTCCAGGAGAAGCTACGGGGGCCGACACGCTCGGTCGGCTCTTGTGCTAAAAAATACGTGTAGTCCCCCATTTGTCCAAATTTCTCTTCTTTTCTTACTTCTAATTAACCATATGACTACTACTTCTGCTTGTTTTTCATAAGTATTCAACGTAGGGATGAAATGCGCTCTGAAGAGCAGTTTGTCTGTTTGGGATACTGTAGAAACATGGCGGCGAAACACGGCGATGTTCATGTAAGAGGACCAGTGGTGTATGCAGATAAAAAATATCTCATTCTAAGGTAATAAAAACACACCACTGAAAATATAGTCATAGATATAATATTGCATTTCTGTCAATAGATCCTAATATCACACACTGAACCTTTAAGGAATGTAATAAAAAAAATTAACAATCAGAACAAACAGGACAATTCAGAGTTGCAGATGTCCACAGATCCTTTAAACTGAGCTCAGTAAATTCTCGCCCTGCATCATTTTTGCAGCGTGGAGCTATTTCCAGATGCTAATGGAAGGGTTGCCCCCGCCAACCATTGCGACGCATACACGGCGAGATGCTGAGTGACTCGTTTCCAGGGAAACCGTACTCTCAACAACTCTCAAGATCTCCGCGGCCTTCTCTCTCTTTCCATTAAGAAATCCGTAAGACTGCGGTTTTTCTTTCCATTTTTTCTCCATCCCTTTTTTACACTATTCTTACTTTCCTCCTTCTCCAACTCCCACTTCTCTTTACCCCTTCTTCCTCTCAGCCATCTCTCCTTTACTTTCTTCTTCTGTGCCATCCTATCTCTCTTTATACACATATATAAATACATACATACATCTTTATATATATTATATGTTATATCTCCATCCTTTTCATCCTCTCTCTCCTTGTATCTCACCTATCTTTTCTCCATTTCCACCTTGTCACATTTCCTCCATCCACCCAGCATCTGTCTGTCTTCACTTTCACTTAAATCCCTCTCTCTCCCTCTTACTTATCTCTTTCCTCCATCTCTCTTCCTTCACTGCTGTTTCTTTCTTTCCATTTGAACTTAAATTTTCTCCCTCCCTCCCTCTCTCTCCCTCTCTCTCCATCTCCCTCCATCTCTCCATTTCCCTCCCACTTGGCTGGAGTCGCTCTAAAAATAAAAGCCTCTCAGACGCTGATTGATTGGAGGCTCTCAGGACTCCCGTTGTGGGCGACAGAGAGCGAGAAAGAAAATAGAGAGCTGACTAGAGAAAGAAAAAGAAACAGAGTAAGGAGGGAGGAGGAAAATGAAGGCCTTGTAAGGAATGAAAGCAAAATGATTGAGAGATGGAAAGAGTGGAGTTGCCTTGGCTCTAATTGGCTGTGTTCATGTTGTGTTTAATAACAGATGATGGAGAGACAATGTGGGAGGAATTGAAATAGAGACAGTGAAAAACAACAGACGAAAAGCACAAGGGAAGTTTGGAAATGCAGAAACTAAATAGAAAAATTATAGCAAAGACTCAGTCCGCAAATGAAAAAAACTGAAAGTATAAAAAGTGATAAAGTCAAAATCCCACCGCCTGAGAAGTTTTGACAAAATAGTTTGAATGCAATTTTTTTCTCATTTTATATCTTCATTTTACTGTTCAATATTTTCTTCTAAATTGTATCTTGATAAATGATATTAAAAGTCTTTAAAATTCTGTTTCAAAGCCTTCATCATACTTATAGAATATAACTTTTGAGGAAGACACTAAATCCCTTATTTGAGTTTCACCTCATAATTTTAGCAGACGTAGATTAGAAGATTTTTCTGTCAGAATCAGACATAAACTAGGACGTGTAATGTATGTTTAATGTAGTTGGCACAGTCCTTCACAGTTTGTTCAAACAGGAACAATACAGAGGTCATGAGCTCATACAGCCTTTGAAAAGAAAAAGATGGATGAGGGGAGGGATGGATGAAGAGAAAAGATGAGAGAAGGAGGAGGTTGAATGGCAAAATAAATGTTCAAATGTACGCTAATGTGATGTTATTTAAAGTGAGCCTGTGTAACTTTTGAACAAAGTGTGTTTTATTGCCAATGCATCTAGATGTTAATGTATAAAAAGAAGAAAAAGAAGAATGTGCTATTTCTTCTTTCAGCATATTTTATCTTTAATGCCAATAATATGTGTTAAATTAAAGATGAAAACACTCAAGTGGAATTTAGTCGTCCTTCTACATGTTGGAATGTAAGATAATAATTATATATGTGAGAAAAGTATGTATTGGTTGAGAAAATAATTTATTATCTTTTAATTTTGTTTTGCTCACCTGTAACTCAAAAACTATCTATCGCCCCTGGAGGTACAAAGTGGTATTACATAACAAGGGACGGGCCGGGGCTAGCTGGTTAGCATGGTACATTAATAAACACTTAAAATGTCCCTATATTTGCTTATAACTACATTACAGTTTGTTGTAAATAATTTACAGGTAAGTGTTGATATTTCCTACCTTCATTTTTTTTTTTGCAACAGTGCCATTGTGTCAAGTTGCGTGCAGTACCTGTAGTGTAGATGGCTGCTTTTTATTGATTAGTTATCATTTATTGATTTATATCTAAACAAGAACCTCATTAACATTCATTGTATAAATACCTCAGCCATTGTATACAATACAAATTATTACACAATGATGAACTGTACACATGAGTTACATAATACATTCACATCTATGGAAGCCCATATTTTCAAATTGCAACTACAACTAAAGTAAATACATAAATAAATGCATTTTTTTCTGGGAATTTCTTTTCATATGTTATTAAATTATGCTTTAAAAAATCCCTAAAAATGGCCCACCAATACCTCTAAACTGGATTATTTATCATTGTTTATCTACTGTTAATTGAGGTTCTTATCTTACTGTAAGTGATTTTAATGTAAGTAATTGTTAAATTTTGATGGACAAAGAGAGAGAGAGTAGGCAGTGAAAAGAAATTAAAGCAAACACGACAAATGGAGAGAGAAAGGGAGGGCGAGCGGAGAAGTGGAAAAGTCAAAAGTGAGTGTGATGAAGAACAGGTGTGGGAGGAAAATTAAGGCTAAGACATCAAATGGACTGAACGAAAGAAGAGACGAGATCAAGGCAGCGAGGGAGGGGGAAGAAGCAGAAAAGTCAAACCACCTACAGTTCGTGGAGGAGACACTCTGTTTTAATTTGTTTGATGGGCAGGAGAGGATTTTTCACGCCATTTTGTCCCCCATTTCTTCACTTCAGCTCTTTGTTTTCTGTGAAAGCTTCATACAGATGCTGCGGTGACAGATTAACACAATGTCCTTCACCTTCACCTACAGCATTGTTCTGCAATGCAGCTTCGGTTTGTCCGGCTGCACTGATATCTGAAGGGGGTGGGGTCGACCCCGGGGATCTTTATATGACATGGTAGGGGGATGAAGAAATAAAAAGTTTGTGTGCGACCAACAGCAGTAGTGTCTGTGGGGAAATCTACATCCTCCTCACCTTATACTCCGTCACATCACCTCGTCGTGTCACTCTCTCCAGATCTCAGGGGTTTGCATGCATTATTTTTTATTTTTTTAAACATGGAGGAGTGTGTTTAAGAGTTCAAGAGGACAGTGTGTTAAAGTGATCATATTCGTGTTTCAGTTCTGGGGCAAGACAAGCCCCGACCCACGCTGCAAATGAAGCACTGGAGTTGTTTTTTAACTGTCTAAAAGCCACTTAAAAGGCTCCTAATGTATCATGAATCACTCTGCAGCGAACCCTTCCTCTCTGTTTACTGTCTGACAAACAAAAATGGCCGATAGTGTTCTCATCATCCACCAGCTTTAAAAAAAAAGTGTCCATGATTCTTTGATCAAATTAAGTATTAGAGGTTTAAAGAAGAACCTGTGCAGGAGTTTTTATGTGATACATTGGCCATCATATAGGCTACTTGTCACAGCAATATCATATCAGCATACTGTATGTTGGCTAACAAGTAACAATAGAAATACCAATTCTGATTGGCTGGAAGGTGCGGATATTTAATAACCGGGCAGTAAAACCAGACAACCAGTTCTAAATGAATACGTCAGTAATTGACTGTGAGGCAGAGCTCAAGAGCTTGGAGCTAGGGTTTTTTTGAGTAACCACCACTACCAACAGCCAGAAAAAGGGATAAATGGCTTCCCGGTGAGAACCCCTCAAATTTAATTTCCAATGTGTTTGATGTTTGTGGCAGAATGCAGCGATATTATCTATTCTTGAGATTGAGAGCAATTTCTGTTTCTCTCCAAGCAGCCTTGTGAACCATTTCCTATTTAGCTCCAGAAATTGTGAGGCACGGGAAATATATTTTATCATGTTTAAAATGGAAAAGAAATGTGTTTAAATATACTGTCTGTTTTGACCAAAAAATAAATCCAGTATCTGTCGGTCTATAGTGGGAAGGATACAATGCTGCAAAAAATCCCCATTAAGTAATTTTTTCCTATGAGTCCTAAAAAACTGTCAGTGGGGTTCTTGAAACTTGTTTCCAATACAAATCAACCTGTTCTGGGTCACTAAAACAAAATAAAACAGAGTGCTGCACTATAATCAAGACAATTTAAACATGATATTAAGTTAAAATACTTGCATTTAGATTTATGTTGAACATTTCTATCTAACTCTTAAAACTTGGTGAGCTCCAGACTCGCCTTCTCTTTGTAAATACCCCCCAAACCCCCGACGCAGTCTCTCACCACTTGCAGCAGAGCCAGGTACCCGGCCCCCACGTTGTCAAAGTTGACCTTGACTTTGGTCCAGTAGTATTGCGAGGTGTCGTTGCGCGACTCGCACTGGGACTTGTTGTTGATTTCGGAGGCCTCGTGGACATAGCCAGTGCGGTTGACGCAGCGGCCAAACTTCCCGGCGAACAGGTTGACGCCCATGATGCTGAAGATGAGCCAGAAGATGAGACAGACCAGCAGCACGTTCATGATGGAGGGAATCGCCCCGATCAGAGCGTTAACCACCACCTGGACAGACAGAAACACACGGAGTCACACACATACCAAACACACTTCTTACATGTGCAAATACTAAATCTTAGGAAAACATCAAGTTTCCAGTCCGTTGCTAGTCAGGTTTAACAGACACCAATTTCTTCTGTATGTGTTCTCTGTGTTTTATTAGTGATTGGGACACATGACTGACTTTCATAGAGTTGTGAAATGGGAAGAGTTATTTCAGGTGTCCCGGGTTCTGGAAGTACAAATCCCTTCCTTTCCTCATGCACAATGTTAGGAGACTTCAAGGCTTGGATGTGTTAAAGATGAGCAAAGGTTTTAAATTTCTGGTTTGTCAAAAGTATAAGGCGCCTGTGGACATAAAAACTGAAGGGGAGAAGTCAACTATGAGTCACAAGATGCATTTCGATTAGTAATATCCTACCACAGAGCTTTAAACTCTACAAAATAAAACAAAAATACACTTTTAATTAAATTTATATAACTTTTATTACCAACTGCAACAATGAAGTATTTTGAAATTAAAACAGCTCTGATATGTATTGTTTAATTCAGAACAATCCTCCAAACTGGAAAAGAAATCATAACCTCTCAGAAATAAAGTTAATTTATGAAAACTTAGTCATAACATAGTGTGGTTAAATAATGCAGGAGACTCGTGTGTTTCTATGTTTAGGGAATGGGAATTTACAGTTTGAAAAAATACTTCCAGAAGTCAGCGATCAACCTGACCAACGTTGAACCAGAACTTGATGCATCCCCTCAGCATTTACATCACAGCACGCAATCAGCACGACACACATCACGAAGCGAAACACAGCTTTAGCTTCAGCATTGTAGGGTTGATGCAGGCTGGAGAATCTGGCCAGTAAGCCATCGTGTGTTTTATTATTTACCCCGAGTCCCTTAAACCCGGTTGGTTGTAAGAACTGAAGCTTATTCTACAGCTGATTTGGGCGTCACTCCAGTAACTGCGTTCAGCTCACATGGGAGAGATGGGAACTACGATATGATTTTACGACTGTATACTTTTATGTTTAGGGTTAGGTGGAAGTTTTGGTCATCATACATATCAATTCAAATTATTGTGAAATTCCTACTTAATGAGGTCGATATCAGCATGCAAATGAAACACGTGTAACATTCTGTGTATTTTAAACAAATCTGAAATTTTATATACACTCATATAACTTCTTTTGGATAATCGTGCCTCAACAACCAGCCTTTTGGATTTCAGTTAGTTGCTGACTAAATAAATGTTTTCAACAACTTCCCTTTAAAATGCAAAATGATTTCACTTCAATTGTTTAACGTTTTCTTGTTGCATTGATATATAAAATTTCCCATCTTGGTGTTTCGTCCCATGTAAACTGAATGTAGCACAATGATCACATTTAGTAAAACTGTCAGAAAAATCAGAACAAACTCAGCAGCATTTTTTTTAGTCAAGCTGAGATGTGCATTTCTTATTATTTGGTATGTATTTTGGGGAAAAGCTTCCTCCTTGCTGTTGGTGCTCCTACATAGAGAAAGCTAGTCAACTAATGTCTCTACAGAAAAAGAAAATTCAACCTGCCACTCCAGCCCTCCTCATTATACCCACAATGCAGCTCTTCTACCCAGAATCCCATGCTGAGTGTGCAGCACTTGTAAATTGACATGAAGGGCTAATCTTCTCAGCCGGACAAAGCCGAGAGGAGAGGACCATGGGAGAGTGAAAGCTCAGACTTCCCAGCATGCAACACAGGTCGCAAACCTCATGTGAACCAGAGTCAGCATCCTGCACACCTCCGTCTGTACATTTCCCCTTTCATCTTAAACCCAGGGGTCACTCTTTCTTTGCTGCGTTGAAAATGAGCTGGATTACAAAATACTGATCGTACAGTTTGATACCCGTTGACCTGGTGGGCTTTAAGAGGTTTTATACAGCCAAAGAACTTCTATAAAAACTAGACCAGGCGTCTAATTGAGACCTGCGTTAACTTGTCAACACATCATAATCTAGAGGAAATCAATCATTTAGCTTTAGTGATTGTGTAGTCACACTACAGAGGAAGGTCTCTGCAGGACACTGACTCTTTGCCCCTGTCAGTAATACTGATGAGTGGGATGGAAACAGAAAGAGAGAGTGGAGGTTGATCTTTCTTGCCTGGTCACAAAGGTTTATGGACACACACACAGTTTAACATGGAACATTCAGGTTTTTTGTTTTCTGAAAAGAGAAAATCTCTGAGGAGGAATAAATCAAGTCAAAGCCACATGGAAACACTGACAGGACGTAATGACATGAACCAATCAGAGAGCAGAATGTCGGTGATGGGAGGATGAAATAGGTGAGAGGTTACTACCACTGTTAGAAAAACTAAGCAGCAACCTCAGGGGATGGAAAACGAAGCCAATGTGGAAATGCCAAAAACTGCAGTTCCTCAAATGGCCACTTGAGGCTGGCTCTGAAAGGGAGCCAATCTCCAAAGATCTTTACAGAAAAATGGTTTTGATCGCTTTAGCTAATTTCCCCCTTCGTGACAAAAAAATAGGGATAAATTTTTACATAACACGCCTGCTTACATTATATCACGGCTTAAAGTTAGGCATATTTAAGGGCATGGCTTTTAATGACGGGAAGTTCTTAAGTGGCTTGCCACCAGGTGGTTCAGCAACCACCTCAGCTCCACCTCTTAGCCAGCGTCAGGCACTGCGGCCGGAGCCACAGGGAGCCGCACATTTTGAGCTTCTTTAGAAAACTATGGGTGACGATGGAGATTACGTCTGTGTTTTATACAGTCTATGATAAAAACACCTGGGCACCAAAATATTTACAGGGGAGCGCTTGATTTATATTATTTATCTCTTAGATTATGTAGCAATAGACTTCAGTTGATGATATAACTCTAGTTAGTTCTCAGAATAAAGACAAAGTCTTTTTACCGCCTCCTCAGACAGAATGACTCACCACACAAAAGGCACAGAAGTTATGAAAGGTAATAGCCAAAAAGCTGAAATTCGGAGTCCTTGTGTCAACACTTTTATAAAAAGGACCAATTAGTGACCTTGTTAAATGAAGTTAATACTAACCTTCATCGTGTTTAGCATTTTTCAATAGATATTCTTTTATAACCGCCCAATCCATCTATGTTGGCATGTAGGCTAATATGATAATCATGCTTCTTTCAGAAAAACTCCTATTCATGTGTTCTCAGGCTGAGTATGACCTGACGTGACAAGTAAACTAGCCCTCATCAGAGTTTGTTTTCTCTTTTCTTACTTACAAGTATTCTCTTTGGATATAATACTACCAAAGAAAATGCCTGTTAGATCTTGATCTTGTTTTTAAAGTGTGATAAACCAAGCGCTCCTCTTGAATAGAAGATATTGAATCCAGGTGCCCAAGTGTGTTTGTTATATTAACACTGACTCTTACCCTCATGCCTTCAAATCTGGAGAGGGCTCTGAGGGGTCGCAGGGCCCGCAGCGTCCGCAGGGATTTGATGGCTGCAAAGTCTGAATAACCCAACGTGTTGGCCACCAAACTGACCAATGAGACCTGGAGGAGAGGGAGAGGGAAAGGGGGGAGGGAAAAGATAGAAAAAGATAGAGATAGAAGTTCAGAGACAGGCGGAAAGAGAGACGGAAAGTCAGAAAGGAAGGGAAACAGAAGAGAGAAGCGGGACAGTTAACGTCTAATCTAATCAAAGACGAAGACAGAGCGGGAGAGGCCTGATCGACGGCATCAGGGATGAAACCAGCCGATCAGAACTGGCGATATGAGGAAAGACAAAGGCGTGGTAGTTTAAATATCAGATGACTGAAGACTCCTGCAGGAGAGGAAAGTAATTAAAAGTTAGTTTTGGTGTGACAGATTATAACGGCAGCCCCAAGTACACAGCTGCTTCTTTTTAAAATGACTTTAGATGAGTCTTTGATGGTGAACTGAGCTTCGACCTGTTAAACAAAATGTTACTGAAACAGTCCTCAGGTGAAGCTATAGATGAGAACATCATTGTGTTAATATTCAGTTCAACATCACTGAATTCACTCCTTCATTCAAACTGTGGAAAAGAAAGGATTCATTCTTTACTGGGTCAGTCGGGTTGATTATTTAGAGCCAGTGAAGGTCAGTAGAAATGTTTTTCGACTGGTTTGGCCTTAGTCATGGTAGCTTTTAGAAAGAGGTAATACAACAGACTGTATTGTAATACTTTGAACTTGTTAGTACTTTTTAGGAAATGTTAGCAGAAGTGGATGTGATGAAGAAAAGACAACGACCGCACTACAACCTGATTATCCAAAAGTCAGTCAAATATGTTAATGTTAAATCACATATGAGGTCTAAGTGTGCAACAACGCAGCCTCAAAAACTTTCATGAAATAAATACATAATCTGATATTTGAGATTATGTGAGAGAAGCAAGAACTGGACACGAGATATTCACATCTTTATCACAGGAAAAATGTGAAACAACAGTTAAGTTGGCTAAATGATACATGTTGGACGTATAACTTGAAGTTAGGGGGGAAGTTCAGTAATACCAGGGATGATTAACTGTAAATACTGTAGCTGTATCGTAAACAGTCTGAAATATTACCTCTGATCAAAGCCAAGATGACACAAACCTCTAGTCAAACAGAAACCACAGCATCTCTAAAACCCTCTAAAGCCAGCCAGCGAAGCCCCACATGAGCGTCTGATTTTCACGATTGAGCGGCAGGTCTCCGGTGGGTCGGAGGGCGGAGCTCCAGGTGAGTTCACCCGGTTCTTACCCTGATACCAGCGAAGCGGGACGCGGCACGGAGAGGACGTAGGGCCCTGAATGTCCTCAGCACCCGCATGGTGGTGATCTGGTCCACAGAGATGTACTGAGCCAGCAGACCCAACACTGAGATCTACAGGTTATGGGTTACACAGTTATTACAAACATCAACTGAGTGGGTGGAAGTCTAACGTGCAGAAATTAAACTGAAGTATTTAAGCATGCCATAAATATTGACATTTAGTGTCTTTAATAAACTTAAATGAGTTAAGCCCTTACAATTTCCCTTCGGATCTTATATGACATTCATTTGTAGTGTATATTTGTTAGATTATTTCAGTGTTTTTCTGCCCCCTAGAGGCTAAAATCAGATTAATGCAGCTTTAAGGTCAAGATGTGAGTCTTTCACAACTTTCTGTCTTTTTTAATAACCCTCTGTTCTGTGTATTGTCTCAAAAGTGCATTGTTAGATCTCTGTGACTCCACACACTCTCTTTATTCTCTATCTTCAGGCCATTACAGTCACATAGAAACATCACTACACACAGTGTCATTTGTGAAGACGGCCCGGCGGAAAACGCCCAGAAAACAAGAGAGGATGTGTCACATCCCAACGCAATGCATGCATACTGTATGTATGGTGTGTATCTAAACTGTTTGTGTGTGCGTGTGTCACTCTAGCCCAGCAAAATCCTGCCCAGCAGAGTGAAAGTGTGCGACGAAATATACACATCTATGTGTGTCTGTGTGTGAGGTTAAAAAGCCACTGCTGATCGTTTGACCGGAGGCTGTGTGCACGCTCTCTCTCTCTCTCTCTCTCTGCTCCTCTCTTTGTCTCTCTAAGTCTCTCGCTCATTTTATTCATGGAGTCCATTATTTCAGGGAAGGTTCACAGCAACAAAACAACTACTTTAACACAAACCACCTGAGAGTGATACATCTCTCTTAGTTTGACATGATACTGTAACGTTAACAAAAACAATTTTAGTTATCTCTATATATCCCTCCTTACTTCCCACATCTCTCTCATCTGTTCATCATTTTCATTCATTCCCCCACTCTCTCACACTTCTCCTCCCTCTCCTCTTCCGGTCACTGCCTCTGCTCCGTGCAGTCAGCATGGTCAAGTCAAGTGTGCGCACAGAAAACAGTAATTGCATAATCTGGTGAAATATACTGTTGAAATGACACATGACGTCTCTCTTTCGCTGATTCATATTCCATTACTCCATCTTTCTTTCAGCCTCTCTGCATGATTACTCTCTCTTCCTGCCTTTTCTCATTTCAATTTTCAATTTCAATTCTAAAAATGGCTTTATTGGCACAAAAGAATAATGTTCACATTGCCAAAGTAATAGTATAACAATATGTTAAAAGTAAATTAAACAAACAAACAATGTGACAATTATAACATAGCTCTCTCTCGTTTCTCTATTCTTGAAATCACGAAATCTGGAAAAATAGGTTAATTATAGATAAATTATCAAGGAAGATTTAAAAAATGATATTCTGTTTAAGCAAAGTGAGGAAAGGACTGAAAAAAAGAAAAAAAGACAATGTAATAAAGATATTTCAGCCATCTTAAAATGTAAATAATGAATGAAAAGTAGAAATATTTTCTCCGTATCTCTTTTTCTGTCGATGTCTCGTAAGTCTTTTATTATATTGTCTTTCATTATAGTCTAGAAAATTATCAATATTTATCCATTTCAGGAATCAGTGTGTTTCTGTAACTCATCAACATTATTAAACTCTCTGTGTGTCCTCAATATCATCAGTGATGTCAACTTTAGCCTCATCATCATCTGCACTGCCACCAGCTCAAACATCAACGCTGTACATTTTCTACTAATTATATATAATAATAATCTAGAGCACACGAGTTGGCTGACTGAATTACTGTTTTTGTATGTTCACTTTCTCATCACCATCAGCGCTGTTATGTCACCTGAGCCATTATAATTGTGAGCTCTAATCACTTTTTGTGTCAACAAAAAGATATTGAAGACATTTTGAAAATTGTCAGATTTGTCATTACTGGCATCAACATCAATGTTAACAGGTATAAAATAACCGGTCATTATGACGTCAGTAGTAATATAAACATCATTGGCTTTCTGTCACCATCATCAACGTTCTCTATTATCATTGTCATCATCTCTGCTAACTTTATGAATGTGGTCAAAAAGAAGCTCCAACAAATAAACTTTCCGACTAACTAATAAACTGATGCATCCCGTTCGACTTACATCGACGATGAGGAAGTCGAGCCAGCACCAGTAGTTGGTGAAGTACTTCTTGAAGCCGTAGGCGAGCCACTTGAGCAGCATCTCTAGGATGAAGATGTAGGTGAAGATCTTGTCTGCGTATTCCAGTATCACCTTGACCACCTTCCTCTGCTCGATGTAGATGTCCTCAAAGGCCTGACGGGGGCAGCAGAGAAGGTGTTTTGAGATCTGATCTCAGTGGATATTCTGATTTAATTGATCCCTAAAGATCTATCAAATGTGTGATTATCTTCAGGGTATTGAAACTGAAATAAAGTTTGTTCTTTAAGTTATTGTTACTGTTGTTTCAGTCAAACAACTAGCCAATACAATCATAGAAAAAGGATGATGTCATTCAGCTCACACCGTCCTCTAGAAGGATAATAAATGTTGTTGTAGAATAAAAGTAAACTATAGCAAACTACATGACCATAAAGTGCATTAAGTTAAGTAAAGTAAATAACACCAAAGTAAAGTAAACTACGGTAAAGTTTGGTAAAGTGAATTAAGTAAAGTAAAGGTGAAGTGTAAAGTAAACAAAGTAATCTACAATCCAGTCCAGTAAACTACAATAAAGTAAACTATGCTGATAAACTAGAAAACATAATCAAAGTATAAGGATGGTGCCATTCTGCTTACACCGTAATCTAGAAAGATATATAATAAATGATCAGAGAGTAAATTAAATTACATTAAGTTAAGTAATGTAAAAAAGTATAACGTAATTGTCAAGTAAAGCAAGTAAACTTAGGTAAACTAAACTGCAGTAAACAACAGTAAAGTTGAGTAAAGTGAATTAAGTTAACCACAGTTAAGTGTAATGAATAAACAAAATCAACTAAAAGTCAAGTACAGTAATGTACAGTAAATTGTCTAAGGTATAGTTGCGTAAAGTTAAGTAAAGTACAGTAAATTGAGTAAACTAAAGTAAAGTAAAGTTACTTCAAGCAAATTAAACAAACTTTAAGTGCCTTTAATAAAGTAAACTACAGTACAGTAGGGTGGAGTGGATAAGACACATGCCTTTGGTGTGGGAGACCCAGGTTCAAATCCACTGTTAGACACCACTGTGTCCCTGAGCAAGACACTTAACCCCTCGTTGCTCCAGAGGCGTGCGACCTCTGACATGTTTAGCAATTGTAAGTCCCTTTGGCTAAAAGCGTCAGCTAAAT